ACAGTCATCAGCGTAAGACTGGAATCCCATGTTTCTTAAAACTTTCAGAAGGTACAAAGAGAAAAGGAGTGACCCAAGAATAAAGCCTTGTGGAATCCCCCAAACCCCCTATTATCCATCCGGCTGAGTGTATGATGATTTTTTTTTACAAAAACGAGTGAGGCTTCTGATATGAGCGACATATGCAACTGCCCAGGGTGACATCTTGTTGGGGGTGGCCCTTCCCTCTGTTGTCAAATCCCCCCACCCAGAGGATCTGGATTTCAACAGTACCTAACTGAAGCACGTCCAAAATAATTGCTGCACACTTTTATGTGTGTAACAAAATTGCCGTAATTTTCTATTATTTATGATAGATTTTACACCTTATTTTAAATACTTGGAGGAAAGTATTGATAAACGCTCCCCTCACGTCAGACACAAACTGAATGACAAGTGACACAGACATGCTCCCTGAAAATGTAATTAAACTGTGTGGATGTTTCATAAAGAGTCATAACGTAATCTATCAACAGTTTTTCACGTTAGAAAGGTGGTTCACCCTGGGCACTCAAAAGGCGAGGAGCGCCGCTGGGAGGATCATGTAATGGAAACGTTGGCCCAGTGAGGCGACTGTCAGCAATAGCAAAATGTATCCTTGAGATCATCCTGTGACACAACTTAAGATCTGGTACTAAAGGTTGCGTCTCGAAGCAAAAATGATAAAACTCTGAGGGCACAGAGGAAACAACAGCTCACGCTTCGATCCATCCTGTCTTCCTAAATCCTACATTTCGGATTAAATCACATACTTGGTCCAGCACAACGAGTTAAAGTGTCTGATATTGTGAGAAAGCCAAATTCGCTCTCTTTCCGTGGCTCTCTTTGTGTGTGTGTGTGCAAGCGCACCCAAGATCACATGGAAAACTGCTGCTGCTCTAGGCTGCTGTGTTTACCAACAAGAGGAGGAGGTGGAGGAGGTGGAGGAGGAGGTCATACAGTGGAGTGGCTCCACCATGGGAGGCTCTTTGTGCTCGTCAGCCAGCAGCAGCCTGCAGCATGCAGCAGTGCTGGACGTATCACTAACAGCACCGATCCTCAGCCTGGACGTCTGCGTAAGCGTGACGGTCTAACAGGTAAGACTCGACTCTGAAGCTTGAAATGATGACGGTTGATCTGTCCTTTGATGCCTCCACAGAGTTTAGTGGAAGTTTTAAGATGATTTGACTTTAAGCTTCTGCTTGTAGCTTCACAGTTGGGTGCAAGCATCGGAACATCATGTTGATAGAACAGAAGAAAGGACGGGAGTTTATTTGTGTGAACCTGAGGACCAGTAATAAGAGATGTTTATTTCCTGTTTGCCGCGGGGCATTAAGTGATGCCGCTGAGCCTCGGGGAGACACACGGTGACCCTCCATCGGGGCAGAAACAGACCCAAGTTGTGTCGCCACATCATGCTGCCGAACTGTGAACTCAGAGGCAGGAGTCAGCAACAACACACAATATGAAACGCATGAATGTTGGAAACAGTTGCGCGGAGTGTGTGATGTTGGCAACAGAGGAAATGAAAGAGAATGCTGTTAAAACAGCCTCTCTGTTGACTGAGTCTGTGTCACACTGTTCCACCACACAGAGCTGCTCATTTATTCTAATCGCTGCGTTAGACAATATGTATATTTGAGGCTGGATTCATTTTTAACTCAAGTTAACATTTCACTGAAGAAAGTCACTTCCAATGCTTTTGAAAGTCTAGATCCGGTAAGAGGCCAGCGCTGGTCTGAATGGACGGCTCGTGTGTCTGGACTGTTTTCCTCTCATCCACTTCAAGCACAGATTGAAGAGCCCTACTTTAATGATCAGCTATAAAAAGGAGCACCCAGTAAACATGTTTTTGCAAATCCAAATAGATCCCAAAGAATACAAAGATGAATCATGGCCAACATGTAGCTCCAGTACACAACCTATGTCATCTCAAGGCTCTGCAGGACACAATTAGGTCCAATTTATTGCCACGCTGAAGCCAAAAGTTCACATAAAATAGAAAATGAAACACAATAAAAAGGATGTGCCTTTTAATTCGATGTGCGTATTCTGTCCAGTGGGGACCAGTAAATCCACCAAGGACTGGTTAAGAAGGGTGATGTTAGTGGTTTTGAGGCAACTCTATTTTTCGGCGATGAATCAAATAGTAACATGTCTGGTACGTCTGAAGAGATATAAAACATAAGCGAATGTCTAATAAAGGAAGCTAAAAGACTTTATAGCATATAGACACAATGGGTTTCATTGATATATAGACAATAAATCAATCTCAGAAATGACTTGATTCAATGGCTATGTCAAGAAAATACCCAATGGAATATGAAAGATAACAGTTTGGCAGACAGAAAATATTGTTTAATCTTCAAGATGCAAACAGCGGATAATCAACTACTGGATCTTAGTTGATCCAGCAGATCCTGTTTCAGGTGTTTCAGGTTTTTTAGTCTTTCCTTACGTGTTTCCCTGCAGCTTGGGCCACGTTGTGTTGCCACCTTAAGATCTAGTGAGGTGGTTCTGGTCGCCTTACTGTGTTGGAACAGATTCTCATTCCTCCCTACATGAGAGGGAATATTGCTCCTGTTGAATAGCTTAGACTAATTATAGATTAACATAGATTGATGTATTTGTAGATTATATGTGACATATTTATAAATTAACAATTAACGTATTTGCATGTGTATGCTTATTTTATTCATTAGTGTATATTCAGTCATGTTTAAATTACTTACATCTATCTATCTATCTATCTATCTATCTATCTATCTATCTATCTATCTATCTATCTATCTATCTATCTATCTATCTATCTATCTATCTATCTATCTATGATAGAGACAATATATATATGTCTCTATAAATTTTATAGACAGAAATAACCTGATTGGTGTTTTCATCGATGCTGCTGCATCCTTCAACAACTCAAAATATGGATGCTTTTAAGTGCACACCTTTGAGATTTGAAATTGAATGGATTAATTCATTCAACACATTCATTTGAATATAAAAATGGTGGATAAGCTTATCAGATTGTGCAGTTATTACATTGAGGACCTTCTAGGTTTTCCCTTCCATCACTCTATCTGGTTATTTTCACAGAATAAGTGACAAAGCTCTCTGGTTTCCCAGTGCACTTTGTTTATTAACCGCTGCATGTAAAGCACCATCTGCTGGGACATGGTTTAAAACAACAGGGTTTCAGTCAGAATGAGAACAATGAGTCTCTTGCCGTGTGTTTTGTCGTATTGGGGTTTGAACATGAGGGAAGGACGGGTGCTGTGTTTTTAGAAAGTGTCTGTGTAACCGCTTTTGTTCAGTCATGTCACTGTTGAGTCACATCACCGTGTTGTTTGATATGTCAAAGGACCATTCGGGGATTAAAGTTCAACATTTATAGTGCCTCCCAAGTGTTTGAATAAGTGTTATTTAAACTAGATTGTGCATTTCTCTAAATGGCAGTAGCTGTGATCAATACTTTCAATGCATATTTTTGAAGCATTGCGTTGGAAAACATTGATGTAAATAGCAAAAATTTTAATAAAAAAAATCTTTGTGGATTTTGTGAAAACGTTTTTGTACTCACGTCAGGTGTTTTTTCACGTTTCCAAAAGGTGAGATGGAAACACATTTGCCTAATAAGACCAAAAATTGACACACTGTTCCATCCACCGGTGGGTCTGTGCCGACCAGAGGCATGACCCTTAGAAAAAACACCAAAGTCCAAACATCCAGGCAGGAGGGAAGGCCGGCGAGAGGCAGCACAGGATGAGATGGGAGTTTTTCTTGTTTAGTGGCTTTTCAAAAGTTAGAGCAAAATTCTTATGAGAATTGGATGGAAACACGGGTAAAGATGATTTAACACCTTCAAGATGTTAAAGATTAAAAATATGCACATTTTGTGGAAACAAACCACAGACATCTGAAAATCCAAAGACACCAGCAACAACTGAACTCCTGACAGAACAATCAGGACATTGTTACAAAAAAAATGAAACTAGTTATGATAATACTAGTTTCATCATAACTAGTAGTTATCCAATCACACTTTCACACAAATAGGCTGACCAATCTAGATAGGCTTATGGTTGCTAGGTGACCAGACATACACTGTGGTATGGACAGGAATATTAACCAATTTCATATCTGCTCTCTTCCGCTTTTTGTGTTAAATAAATCGAAGAGACGGTTCGTGCTGCTCTTAGCATGCTGTCCAGGGCCACACAAATTCAGTCCAGAAATGAACTACATTCACATTTAAGCTCATGCAGCCAAGTCCATTCCATTATAAGCCATTATAACATTAGGTCAGAGGCAGCAGAGTGTAAAGGAAAAACCTGTTCGGAGATAAACTCCCTTCTAAAAGGAGGAAATGTTCAGCAGAGCCTAGCTAGGCATTAGCAGAAGGGCCTCTACTGGGCCGGGACAGAGAGACGGCAGCAAACACAGAGGGCTGGGTCAGGTGTGTACTTTCCACCACAGGAAAGACAGACAGGACACAGGCTAGAAACATCAACGCATGCAGCTAAATAACAGGGTGTAAAGACAGCAGAGTGATGAAAGTGGTCAGCATGTTGTCGAGAACAGTGGCGCCCAAAGTGGGTCCTCGAGGGCCCGGATCCTCGAGGGCCCGGATCCTCGAGGGCCCGGATCCTCGAGGCCTCGAGGGCCCGGATCCTCGAGGGCCCGGATCCTCCGTGTTTCAGTTCTCTCCTGGGTTTAACACACCTGGATCCAATGATGGCTCATTTGAAGGTCTAAGAAGAACATTGACCTGCTGAGGAGGTTATTGCTGCCACCATGGAGGAACCAAAACACGCAGGATACCGGTCCTCGTGGACCGACTCTGGATACCACTGGATTAGAAGCCAGTATTACTGGTTGATGATTCAGTCATTTACCACTAGTCTTGTAGACATTTTCACATGTGTTTCCAAAGAAGTTTTCTGTTGACATGGTGATCCTTGTTTCTCCTCAACCTTTAGGGTTTGCTGTCTATCTGCTGTTGCCAGGAAAGCCCTGAAAGGCAGAGCGAGCTGAACTCTGCGTTCCCACCGCTGCGGCACGATGGGATCCTCCACTCTGGGCAAGGCGGCGTCTCTCGATGCGCTGATAGTTGAATGCGTTCACGCATTCGGTGAGAGACGCACCACATCTTAGCTGACGTTTTGTGATGGGTTGTCATTATTTCATGGTAGTTTACATTTCATGCTATTCTGTGACTTCCTCTCGTCACAGATGATAACGGTGATCTCCATGCCAACCCGCTCCCTCGTACCATGCTGCTAATGCATCGCTGGTATGTTACATCCTCTGAGCTGGCAGGAAAACTACTAATGATATATCCCATCTTCCCGTCTTGCAGAACAAAACTCCTTATGCTTTTTATTTTTCTTCAAATATTAGCACAAGTTATCTTTTATCATGGATGGTTTTCCATACAGCTGCCCAGAAAGAGTTTGTTTTTAGGACCAACACACTGGTGGGCCTCAATGCACATTGACATGTTATATGTAGTTGACATTAGTAAGATTACATTTTGTACCAATGACCAATCTGTGGACCTGCAACCAGTTTCCTTTTAGTTGATCTATTTTTACCATAAAGTCCTTAACCAAAGTCTACGTACCGTGATGGCAAAGAAGACAGCAGCAGGATGACCAGGCTGAAGATTTGCTATTTCATGAGGTAAAGAAATAAACACATTTCAGACTCCTAGGAAACAATGCTGTTCAACACAAAACTGTCTTTAATTACTTCAGTTTAACTCCACCTAATTATGTTTTCACACTTTGTATTTTTAAGACTTAAAGTCTCTCTCAATGTTTTTATAACATTTCTTAATGATTAATGTTTAAATAAGTCAAAGACATCCTGGGTTTTAGATGGATGAGGGCAGGTCCAGCACAGGTTCAGCCGGGCCCTTCCTGCACCCTAACGCCTGGTAATGTGAATATGCACATGTAGGTTCTGGATAGTGACCTTCCCTGCAGAGTTCAACCTGGATTTGGGCCTGATTCGGATCACAGAGGAGTTCAGGGAGGCGGCCGCTCAACTTGGTTGTGAGGACCATTTCAAACTCATCGACATCTCAGCCATGTAAGCCACCACACACACACGCACACACCCACACACACACACCCCCCCCCCCCCACACACACACACACACACACACACGCACACACGCCCACGCACACACACACCACTGTAGAAACTAAAATGATTGATTGTTGCTTCTTGACAACGGATCTCGTTACAGTTGAATTTGTTTTAAATTTTCTATGTATATTTTGGATGAAAGTATGAGGATATGAACAGCAGCTCACTGTTACTAACGCCTCTCTCTAGTCTCTTTTGTTGGACTGTGGGTCTCAGTAGGACAATTGTTATGACTATGATTCTTACCAGATTGATCACACACTGCAAAAAAACTGCATCCGATGCTTCACCCAGGATTTGTTGCGAGTTACCCAATGTAGTTATGTTTGTCATTCTTGCATGAACAGCTGATCAAGTGTTCAGTGGGGCTAAAGTCTGGACTGTTTGCATGACCTCTGATCTTCTTCTCTCATTCATTTTGTGGGCTTGAGTTCAGTCTTAAAGACAACAGATATTATAGTGTCACTAGTTTTTTTATTTCGTCTCCATTTTGACAGAAAGCCTTGTTTTCATAGAAAGGAAAACTCCATCCCACACCATCACACCGCCTCTACCAAAAAACTGTCTTGCCACATTCCCAACATCTGGTGCTAAAACTAGTTTCTTTTCATACTTTGAGGTTAAATGGAGTAATTTGTGTTTTTTGTGTGTTATTTAGGTTTCTGTGTTCTGTTGAGTCTCTGTGTTGGCCCTTCTACCCCTAGAGTGTCCCCAGCTGTCTCTTGTTTCTCCTGACTGTCTCCCTGTGTATTTAAACCCACTTGTGTCCCTTGTTTCTGGTCAGGTCCCCGTCTAATCACGTCTAGTCGGGTCCTTTCCTCCGTCCAGTCTGTGTGTTGTTTTTGAGGTTCACCAGTTGCCACCAGCAACCTGGACTTTTGAAGTTATTTGTGTGCCAATCAACATTAAAACCATAATTTACATCATTGCAACCTGGGTCCGCTGCATTTTGCCTCACCACCTTCATCGCACTTCATAACATTAACATTGTGAATAGGAAGTAGTTTCTTTGCCTGGTAGAAAATAGGTGAACTGAACCTTTTATGAGTTGTGTTTAGAAATGTGTCGTCATTTATGGGGTGATTAACAGACTTTTCAACAATCTAAGTTGTCTTGCCAAGAATAAGATTTCCTTCTCTGTTACATTTATATTTACGATTTCACTATTTTACTGGAATAAAATTCCTATTGAATGAGTAGCTTGGAATTCCCAAATGCAAAGTAGAAAACGGCGCATAGAAATCCAGCTTAAGTTTGAATGTCTGAGGCTTAAAGCTGAGCACATCCTTAAATTCAGTTCTGCTGGAGAAAGAAACGTCACAGTTTTTATGTTTTCTGTCCTGTGAACCCATTAGCACACAATGAATCTCTTCATCAACTGATGTACTTTCTATGTATGTTAAATGCAAAGAATCAGGGCAAGTATATTGAAATTAGAAAATATTATTGTTTTTGCAATGAGAACTGACTATCATTAAGTTAAATGAATAATTATTTTACAAAAACAACATGGTGACTTCAGGTGAAGCAAACTGAGTAGACGGTGTGTCAGAACCTCTAACACCTTAGTATAACAATATCCAGTTCAAAACTCATTAAACGTCATTGTTTCGACTAAATAACTTATCAACAAGAGGAGAAACATGTGGAGCCATTAAAATATTGACAAAGATGCCCAAAGCTCAGGATAAACGTGTTGCTGAAGCTAACGCATGTCTGTATCAAGCTAGTGACATGTGGCTAGCTCAGAAGCTGAGAGACTGGACCAAACATCGACGACCTGAAGATTGTCTAGAAGGGGGATAATGCAAAGCTACAACAGAACATTGACCATCTGGGACATGAGATCAACGGTAAGCTGGACAGTTTTGCCACAGAGGTACAGGGCCTGGCAGAGCGGGTTGACGAGGCGCAACAGAGGAAAACCGCTTCAAGAGCTTCATATAGAATCCAGTTCCAGAAGAAACGACGTCCATGTCAGAAGGCCAAGCGGGAAACTTCACTGCACAGTATATAGGCTCTTTGCACCATTTCATGGATTTCCAAACGGTCCTGAATTAAGAAGACGTTGGCTTGTAAATATTGGTCGCTACCAGTTAAAGCTAATGCTGCACAGCGAAGTTTGCAGCCTTCACTTCACTCAGCAGCTTCTTCAACCTGAAGACGAAGGTATAGGAGCCGTTGTGTGTTATTTCCATTAAATTGCTTCTGTATTCAGCCTGAAAGAGCGAGTATATAGGAACAAGTCAGCAGAGCCGGACAGCCAAGCAACTGATCCGCCTGTACACACTGCTGTAAACAGTCCTATTTCAGCCCTTCACAAGAAGCATGCAAAAGTAATAAAACAAAATAACACAAAAAACATCTCAGAGTTGAACTCTGTGAAGGCTACTGAACTCCACAGAGCCAGATACAAGTGGGACTTCAGAACCGATCGGATTCACATCAAAATACAAAACAATAATAAAGCGTCGACCATCAATTACAACAGAAATATTAACACGAAGCTGAGAATCTACAGCTCAGAGGGTCAAATGAAGCATTTCTAGACTTTTCCACATCACCTGATTTACACGTCAAAGCCTGGGCATGATGGGAAATGTAGTTCTGGGAAGTCCAGCAGTTTAAGAGCCTCTGGCCTTAAGCAACACGGCCATATTTTTCTAAAAGTAACTACTTTGAACCTGAACAGTCAGCTGAACTCGAACTCTGACATCAGAACCGCTTTACTGTAAAGCTACGGCTTGTTGTGCTTCTTCAGGCTTCAAGCAAAAAGCCTGAACCGTAAGCTGTTTATTGTCGTTAACAATAAATACACGTAATATACTTGAAAATAAGGTACAAACATCGTCTGTTAGAATGGATGAGAAATGTTTAGATATTTAAATAGCAGATTTTTACAAGAAAACTGTCTGAGAATATTGCTTAGTAGCATAAGCTAAAGCTAATGTTAGCCACAAAGTTTGAAGAAAGTAAAACTCACCTTCGTATCTGTGAATGTATAACGAGGGGAACATCTTAAAACCTTTCTCCGGCTTACTTGTTGGGGCTTCGGTTAGATGTACATTATTAAATTAATTACATTGGAAAAGCCCTGCAGATACCCAGCATAAAGTGCCATTTTCAATAGATCGGAAACGATCGAGCCGCTTTTCCCCGAAGGCGGAAGTTGAGGTGCAAAGAGACGCTGTTGAGAGACCAGCTGCAACTACCGGGACAGTAAACCGGGAGCCGCAGGGCTGACAGCCAGCGGAGAACAAACTGCAGCATTTCCCAAATGGGCAGAACAACGGGACTCAACATTATTTTGACTGCTTCAATATTCAAGATTCAACACCTGCAACAGTAAACACAAATGTACAATAGAAAAACTCTACAACACATTAATAACAGAACAGAACAACAGAACATTGACCATCTGGGACATGAGATCAACGGTAAGCTGGACAGCTTTCTGCAAATAAAATAAAACAAATGATTTGTTCCTTATTTTTTGGGCTGTAACTGAAAATGACCTTATTAGTATTTTGTGTTTCCTCATTTTAAAACGAGTATTTGTTAGCATAAGAATTTATGCTTTTATTTTGAAAGGGTTTGAAACGGAAGAGTGGTGAAGTGTGACGCCAACTTTAGACAATTAACTGACAATTAACTGCTGGTCATCGCGCAGAAAGAGAGAGCGCTCAGGTCGGAGTACAAGGAGGAGCCAAGATGGCGGCTAGCCTTTAGACGTTGTTCGGAACTCTCCTCCAACTTTATTCAACTTTATTCAGCTCCTGCCGGAATAGGTATATTTGTAATGTCTTCAACCTCTACATCAAAACGTAAAACCGAAGGTCATCTTGTACTTACTCCTACGAAGACATCATCTACCAAAAAGGTAAAATGGAACAAGCCACAGCAGAGAACGTGATAGCGGTGCTAAAGCTAGCTATTGAAGAGCAAGGAACAGCTATTGGAAAATCCATTGAGGACTTGAAGTCTACAATTAATTTTCTCTCCGCTGACATACAAGATATTAAAAGCACACTGCACACCACGGTCAGCCGAGTCAGCAAAGCTGAGGAAAAGATTCAAGCATTGGAAACCAAAGTGCTGGAGCTAGCACGCGAGAAAAACGGTGGAATCTGCGGCTCCGCGGCATGCCCGAAGAAGGGTCGGAAGATGTTAGGGTCAAGGTGATGGAGGTATGTCAGAATATAATCCCTGACTACAAAGAGAAGCTTTTGGAAGTGATTGATTCAGTATATCGGCTTGGTAGAAAACACCCTAACAAACCACAGCCCCGAGACATCATCATCCATTTCGCCATGCAGCATTTCCGAATCTTGATCTGGAAAATGGCAAAGAATTCTGACTACTTGAAGCAAAGAAATCTCCTGTTTAAAGAAGATCTTTCTGTGGAAGACCGCGAGAAACGGAACAGGTTGTGGCCAATAATCCAACAGGCACGCAAGGATAAAAAGATCGCATACTTTGTAGGAGGAAGAGCTTTTGTGGACCGCAAGGAAGTTGAATAACTGTTTCGTTGGATCCCATTCAACCCAATTTGGAGGAAAAGTTCTATGTTCCCAGTTAAGTTCAACTAAAACTCAAGACACTTATAGTTTTCTTTGTTCTGTTCTTTTTACTATGTTAAAACTCTTCTCAGTTAATGCTCGAGGACTGAGGGATATCACTAAAAGAAAAGCTTTATTTCTGTTTGCAAAAAATTGTGGTGCTGATTTTTGTTTGCTTCAAGAGACTCACTCCATTGACAGTGACTATAAACTTTGGAAAGCTCAGTGGGGAGAAGACCTATGGATGGCCCATGGAACTCACCGTACAGCAGGTACATTAACATTGAAACACAAATTCAATAGCACCGTCATCTTCACTGAAGCCGACCCTGCTGGACATTACATTCTCACAGTTATCCAATGTGATAATTCTATCTTTCTTATTGGCAACATTTATGGGTATAACAACGCAAAAGAAAATGTCACACTGTTTGAAACTTTGAACTCCAGTATTGATGCACTTGTTAAAAAATTTAATAACATTAAAATAATTTTAGGAGGAGACTTCAACATTACTGTGAATGATGAGGTTGACCGTTGGCCTAGTAGGCAAAGAATAAACTCTCAGATTGTTGACTTTATGAATGAACGAAGCTTAATTGATATTTGGAAGGTAATTAATCCTAACACAAAAAACTTTACATGGAAAAATAAAGCTGGCTCACAACAATCAAGAATTGACTTTTGGCTAATTTCTGATTCCTTACAACTTTCAAATTGCAAAGCTGAGATTATTCAAGCACCTCTTACTGATCACAAAGGCATTTCGTTACAGGTTTGTATTTCCCCTGATAGAACTATTAAAAGGAATCCTGCATATTGGAAGATGAATATATCCCTTCTTAACGACAAATTTATCTGTTTAACAATTAAATACAAAATTGCAGAGCTCATAAAGCTAGCACAATCTGAAAACAATTACGGAAGTTACTGGGAGCTTTTAAAATATGAGTTAAGAAAGATCTTAAGTAAAGCTGGGGCAAATAGAATTAAAAATAGTATAAAGGAGGAAAACGGCTTGGTATCTGAGTTGATTTCATTATCCTCTGCTCCTGAAAATCTAGATGAACAACAGAGAGCCAAGTTACAAACCCTTCAGCTTAAACTGGATCAAATTTATATTAAAAAAGAAAAAGGAGCATTTATATGTTCACGAGCCAAATGGTTAGAGGAAGCGGAACAAAATTCTAGTTATTTCTTTAAACTTGAAAAACAAAGACAATCAAAAAATGGTATTACCAAACTTAACTCAAATGGCACAATTATTGATGACCCCAAAACAATTGCAAATATATGTGAAACGTTTTACAAATCATTATAGGAGTCTAGACATTCGCCTGAGGAACACAATTCTTTCTTTAACTCCTTAAGTGGCACAGGAATAATTGGTGACCAAAACAAAATATTATGTGATTCTCCAATCACACTTGATGAAATTAAAGAAGCTATTAATAGTCTTAAATAAATCCCCTGGCACAGATGGACTTGCATCAGAACTTTACAAGATGTTCTCAGAAATGGTTTCAGATAACAGCTTTATTTTATTCTTAGATTTTCAAAAAGCATTTGACTCAATAGAACATGAATTTATCTTCAAAGCCCTCAGTCTATTTGGTTTTGGAGAGAATTTTCAAAAATCAATCCGCACTCTATATACTTATGGAAATAGCTCAATAAAATTACCCAATGGAACAACAAATAGATTTCAAATAGAACGTGGGATTCGTCAAGGATGTCCTGTATCACCCTTTTTGTTTCCAATAATAGTTTGTTTGGAAAAGAGTATATTATAAACTTTCTTATTCTGCTGGCTAAATTTCATATGCATGCTTGTAAATTTGCTAAAAAAACCCAACCTCACTCTTTTTAGAGCTTATTTAAGATGTTTTTTGGACTCTGTGAAAATGTGCACCAACGCTAAAGCTATAAAACTTCTAACTTTAAGTGAAGAGTTAAATCTGTAAATTGTTAACCTAGTACCTCGAGCATTCTATTGTCTGTGTCTGTATATTCATTATTCTGTATTCTGTATATTCTTCTTTGTAAATAAAGTTTGTTTAAAAAAAAAAAAAAGGTCGGAGTAAAACTAATTAAGGAGTGGTTCAGATTAGAGTGTAGACTGTCAGTTGGTTGGCGCTTGGTTGATGGGGAACAAGGTGAGAGTTTTTTAATATGTAAATATATGTTTAGTTTTACTGTAAAATGTAATTTGCTTTGGGTGTGACGGTTGTATTTTTTCATTAGATGGCACGAATATTCGTTAATTAACCCTTAATAGTTAATATGTTGCGCTTTATTTCATGACAGAAGGTTTAATTGCAGAATGTAAGAAAAATGATTTATATGTTAAAGTACAATATGAAAACAACACTGTTTGAGTTTTTAATGTATTTAATTTGTATGTTTTGTAGCTCTTACGGTGTGTTCACAATAAAAAGGCATTCAATAAAACATTGTGAACCATCAATTTGAGAGATCATCCATTCAACCGGGACGCTACAGTAACCATCGTCTTAAATACCCCTAAACCAGAACCTTCCTGCTGATTGGACTGAGTCCAGACTGCCAGCTCACTGTTTCTGACCTGATCTCCTTACAGCCCATCATATGATTGGATGCGGAAGCTGACCCAGAGGAAGAAACAAGCCAAGAAAGGGAAAGCATCACTGCTGTTTGACCACTTGGAGCCTGTGGAGCTGGCAGAGCATCTCACCTTCCTGGAGTTCAAGTCCATCCGGAGGATATCGGTGGGTGAATCCTCTGAAACTCATAGCGGATGCACAGAAATTTCTTCCAGTAAATCATCCAAAAGTTATTTCAGTAACTCGGTTCACTCAGTAAAAAAAATCCCACACAAGCCTTAATTTTCTGATGATTGATTTTCTGATAACAGCTAATAAAAACATGACATTTATGATTAGAATGTTAAATGAGACCAATAAAAGAAAAATTTTAATACATTTTAATGTGGGCTTAATGGCAAATGTGTTCAACGTTATTTTCAAGAAAATAACTTCAGTCTACAGACAGATGAGCCTCATCAGAACTCATCATTCATAGAAAGTTTCTGTATTTGGGAAAATGTTATCAGCTGTGATGGTAGAAGCCAACCATAGTGCAAAATAAACCTTGTATGAAGAGGACTTTGGTCAACATGAGCAACGTCATGGGAAGTTGCTCACCTGTCACAAAGGCTGGCTGATCTTATGGAAAACTGCTCATTTTCCCAGACCTGACTGATTACAAATCATATCCACAATAATGGAAATATCTGGATTTAGTGTATTCAAAGTGAGAAAACGGAGACAATCTAGAATGACGCTGGAGTGTTTTCAGTTGAAATGTAACAGTGATGAGAGAAGCCTGCTGCTTGTCAGAGTAATCCACTTTTTAAGTGAACAGAACTGAACTTACACGCCTGCACAGGAAGTCGGGACATTCCAGATCACATATAAAACTTTTTCCAAATATAGAATTGTAATTAAAAAATGACAATCAAATCCTCTCACATTTCTTTGATGTTGCTACATCAAAGAAATGCTGTTGTCTAAAATTCAAGGAAATAAATTACCTTTTTTTTTTTTACCCATAAATTTTTTGTGCTTCCTAAATTTTCAGCTGAATCCTGTTTTTTTTTTTTTTTTATCTTCCTGCATAAAATTTTACAGTAAGCAGCTGGTTGTCATTTAACTGACTGTAACATTAAAATCCAAATAGAGCTAAACTACATTGCATAGCCTCTATGAAAATGATTCGTACAAATGAGTCTTGGCAAAAATTCTCATTCGTCTGCAGTTCACCGACTATCAGAGCTACGTGATCCATGGTTGTCTTGTGGAAAATCCAACTCTGGAGCGCTCCATCGCTCTCTTCAACGGCATCTCACAGTGGGTCCAGCTGATGGTGCTCAGCAAACTCACACCTCAGACCCGAGCTGAGGTCATCGCCAAATACATCCACGTGGCTCAGGTAACTCCTACAACAGGCTGTTCACAAAGATGAACTGCATTTAACACCCGTTTCAAAAACAAGAAGGAATAGCTGATTTTCTGTCTGTTTATTCAAAACTTTGCAATATAAACAGAGGAAGGTTATATCCAGAGACGCAAGAATAAAAACACGTTTGAAGTAGCAACTAACTACTGCATAATGTGGTGATGATTTCTGATAACATGATTATATTATTTAGCACATTTTATGGAAGCAAGAAACTGACACTTTTGGCATTTTTCATAATTTCATTTATTGAACTGTCTTGAAAAGAGCCCAGTGGGTATTAGATCATGTTTAATGAAAGGGAAACTATTTACAAACTGTACCTGAATGCACCATGAAACTTGTGCACTTAATAAGGTTCTTCTGTCACTAAAATAAACCAGCTGTCACTGATAAACATTTCCAGCCAATTTGGTTGATGGTGATAAATATTTTAAAACAACCAACAGAATCTCTGCCACACCAAGTTAACATGAGACTTTGGGCTAAGAGAAGCAGATGAGCAGGATCATCTTTTTCAGAGTTTTATTACAGACCATGGCACTGGCTGATCTCTGATGAACAATGTTCATCTTACCACTCCCCTCTGTTTCTCAGAAACTGCTGCATCTTCAGAACTTCAACACTCTGATGGCGGTGGTGGGAGGCCTGAGCCACAGCTCCATTTCTCGACTAAAAGAAACCCAGGCCTACCTGGCGCCAGAAGTTCTGAAGGTACTGAACACGGGCCATGCTGTGCTATTCCTCACACCGATGTCTTCACTTACATTAACAAAAGAAAATTTGAGCCCCGTCTGCAACTGGTCTATCTTTTTACCCATCTATATCACATGATCTGCCAGAAACGACTGTGACTTATTCATTACATGATACTGTTTTCCTATTGCTGTCCCAGATTTGGAGCGAGATGACAGAGCTGGTCTCTTCCAACAACAACTACTCCAACTACAGAAAGGCCTTCAATGACTGCAGAGGGTTCAAAATCCCCATCCTGGGCGTTCACCTGAAGGATCTGATCGCGGTGCACGTCGTCTTTCCTGACTGGGTCGGTGACGGCACCATGGTGAACCTGGTGAAGATGCATCAGCTGTACATGACGTTCAATGAGCTGGTGTCACTACAGAGTGTGGTATCCCAAGTGGAGCCCAACATGGACCTCATTTACCTTCTGACGGTGAGGGCAGCTCTTTGCTTCAGACCTCTTAATTTTATATAGCACATAGAGAACATAGGTTTCACAGTAAGCTTCATCCGAGATGATTGACTTTAGAAATGGAATCTAACACCAGAAATGATAGTTGGTCTCAGTTCAAAGTTGCCTCAAAAAGCATCATGATGTTCTTATATCTACCAGCTCTGTCTGTAATTCATTAAGCCTCCGTGTTGGGGTTTGGCCATCATTGTGATTGTTTTATGACTTTTACCTGAACGCTCATATTTTTCAGCTTTCTCTTGACCTTTATTACACAGAAGATGAGATTTATGAGCTGTCGTTGCTAAGGGAACCACGTAACCCAAAATCGCAGGTAAAGTTCTATTCAAGCTACGATTCTGCATGAAACACACCACATGCTGGTAAAAGTCTGGCTGTTATGGTGGGATGAGGCCAGTTTAGTGGGGCTCAAGTCTCAGTGAGCAGCTGCCAAAGAAGGTTTTATATCCATATTCATATTTAAACAGTTGTTCTGATTATCTCTGGTCTATTGTCAACATGCATGTTCAGTCTGCGAATTTCCTCATATTTAGGTTATTGGCAACGTTTAAATTTTACCAATATGTTTTATAACTAAGTGATATGAGCATTTTGGAGCACTAGAGAACTCGAGTCTTATAGAAAACATCAGAAAGGAGTTATAGATTAGTGGTTGTAAAACTCCAAGTCCTCAAGGACGAGCCACCTGACACTTGGAATTATAACCAAAGATAAATTGTCAAAATATAGGTGGAACATAAACTTATATTTTAAATATTATGAGATGAATGAAATTATACTGACTCTGTATCCTCAGCCTATATCTCCAACTACTCCCAACAAACCTTTGGCCCCACTGGACTGGGCCTCTGGGGTGACCACCAAACCAGATCCTTCTGTGGTCAGTAAGCACATTCGCAAACTAGTAGAAGTGAGTAAACCTTCCCATTTTTAATAATGCCTTCAAACAAAGCAAAGATAATTGATATTGCATGATGCTACATAATGTCATATGATATTAATTACTTGTTTTCCTTCTAACAGTCTGTTTTCAGAAATTATGACTATGACCACGATGGCTATATATCACAAGAAGACTTTGAGAGTATTGCAGCTAATTTCCCATTTCTGGACTCATTCTGCGTTTTGGATAAAGATCAGTGAGTGTGAAAAATAACTGACGCATCTGTTGCTGTCATAGCAAATCAATTTAACTAATTTATGAACCATTTGGTGGATTGTGGAAAACGTGTGGCGATTGGTCTATGCTTTTCTTACAGTCTGCAGTAATGCTCAAGGAAGATGGAAGGTTTGCTTTTTAAAAATGAATTGATGATTGGGATTTCATCCCCTCAGTTGCATTTCCTCATCACCAAACTCAAAGTAATGTTGATTTTGTGGGATTAAACAATTTGTCTGAGACATTCTTCTTTGAGAAAATGGCAAATTTGATGTGTGTTTGCAATCATTTACTAACTGGTAAACTCAGCTGGATTGAAGTTTTATTCATCAGACACAAAGTGACACTTCAACTAGAAACTAGACAGAATGAGAACAGCCCAGAAATCACAAAGGCACAACCCAATGTACGCACTTTTTATCTAAAAAATTTTTATACTGTGGGAGGAAGCCGGAGTACCCGGAGAGAACCCACTCATGCTCATGGAGATCAAGAGGTCTTGGGTTTGAACCCAGGCCAGGATTCAAACCCAAGACCTCTGTTTCGCAAGTTTTTTCACTTTTCATCAAAATGAAAAGTGAAAAAACAAGATGCTACATACTTAAAATCAGGCAGTCAAGATAATCGACAACATGCCTTCTTACTTCTCTTCACTGCCTTCTTATCATCCCAAATTTCCACAGGTGGTGGGGGAGGTAGAGGTGAAAACCTCCTAATCTTCAAAGCTTCCCCAGCCGGGGAAGTTTGTTTTGGAAGAAAACTAAAAGAATCTTTTGGAGTCCAATCTTCTAGGGCTTTTTGATGGAGGAGAAGCTTTCTGCTCTTTAGGCTTCTCTTTGTTTACATCTTCCACATCGATGTCTTTTACGTCCTCCTTTGTTGAAGATGTCGGCTCTTCCGGCTTTTCTTTGTTTAGTTCAGAGACTCCTGGCTGAGGAGTCTCTTCCACGCCGATGTCTTTTACGTCCTCTTTTGTTGCAGACGTCGGCTCTTCCGGCTTTTCCTTGTTTAGTTCAGAGACTCCTGGCTGAGGAGTCTCTTCCACGCCGATGTCTTTTACGTCCTCTTTTGTTGCAGACGTCGGCTCTTCCGGCTTTTCCTTGTTTAGTTCAGAGACTCCTGGCTGAGGAGTCTCTTCCACGCCGATGTCTTTTACGTCCTCTTTTGTTGCAGACGTCGGCTCTTCCGGCTTTCCTTGTTAGTTCAGAGACTCCTAGCTGAGGAGTCTCTTCCACACTGTTGATTTTGCTTCATCTTTGGTTGAAGCGACGCAAACTTCTCCAGCCGGAGAAGTTTGCGTCGCAGGTGGTGAAGGCCTGAAAAGATAGGCATCTATCACATCATAATCATCCATCCTTTGTGCAGAGGGAAGATTATCCTCTGAGCAATCCTCTCCAGCCGGAGAAGGATTGAAGAGAAAAGCGTTAAAATCATCCGGCCACTCTTCCTGGTAGGGAAGTCTATCCTCGTCACTCTCTTCTCCAGCCGGAGAAGGATTGAAGAGGAAGGAATCAAAGACATCCAGGTCCTCATCCTTAGATGGCATTCCAAATTGTAGGTTTGGCAGGATAACATTCAATGTTTTCCTGATGGCTGTGCTGGCCAAATAACCAAGCCCAAAAGACACAGGAAAGAAAAATGTCGTTCCAATCGCTTTCAGATCCAAAGACATGGCTAAACAGAATTGCAACTGAAAACTGAGGTTTTGAGATGCAAGTTTTTATAGCCTCAGAGGTTCTTAGATCTATGACATAGAAATATGTCATAGATCTAAGTCATTGATGAGGTCATAGCTACAATGAGCTCACTGTAGTTCTGGACAATGTCTTGCTGATCGTTGCTATAGCAACAGTCAGATCAGTTCTGCATGATTGAAACTATTAACCCTTTGCAACTGCTTGACTTCATCATTGGAGGCGCCATGACGGACGTCGGCAGTGAAGGATGGGAGAACTGAACAGAGTGACTTCAGTTATTTATCCAAGTTGTTTTTACCAGTTTCTTGGTGGCTTCTTCTTGTTGGAGTGGAGATAACTTGTCTGTGAACGTAACAAACCTGATTGGGGATCATAGACGGTGATATTTACAAAAGTTGGAAATTGCTAGCTTCCAAAACCGACCCATACTTCCTCCATCCTGATGTGTTCATCAAATTATTGATTTGTCCTGAATTCACACCAATTTATTTATATCACTATGTCATAAATAGAGTTTCCCCTTACACTGGAGCAACATTAAAAACAATCAAAAAATCACCAGAGAGGAGCATTTGAAAGGCCAAAAGGTTATTTTATGCAATTGCTTGGCTGCTAGATTGTGGGATGTGTTGCCTCTATTTTTATGCTGCTTAGATTGTATTGATTCCTGCATTTTCTTTCAGTATAAAACAAAAATCATACAACTCTGCATTGATCTAAAGAAGCAAAAGGAAGCAAGCGGAAAAAAAGACTCCCTGTCCCCAAAACAATGAATATTTATCAATTTAAAAGCCAAACACATTTGCATCACTGCCATAAACTTTGTCCATGACTAAAAGATTTCCAGCTGAGCTGATGCTCCTGTTTCCTCCTCCTCATCTTCCTCTGCATGTCTTCCTCAGAGACGGATTGATCAGCAAGGATGAGATGGTGGCGTATTTCCTCCGGGCCAACCCTCTGCTCCAGTGTAAGATGGGACCAGGATTCATTCACAACTTTCAGGAGATGACCTATCTGAAGCCAACCTTCTGTGAACATTGTGCTGGATTTGTATGTATTTCAACACAAGTGAATTATGTTTATTGAAACCAAACATGCTGAATGTGTTCAAACATAATGTCATCTTTTACTTTGGAAATAAATTACAGAAAACCGGGTTAAAAATGAACAGCTTGTAAAAATGTAAGAAAGGTGGAGCAGGCGATGACAGGTAGGTTCTTTCTAAGTCCAGATCCTAGCTGTGTTTGTTCACACATGTTGCTTGAAGGGAAGTGTGAACCACCAGAAGGCAGAAGCAGGACCTCTGGCGTCCAGCAGGTGGCAGACTGAATTACATGCACACAATAATCACTGCAGTTCTGCTCATCAGTGATTCTGTAAAAAGGGCAAAAACTGTGGAGATGAAAGCTGATCATCTTATCAACCGGGTCTGAGGATGGATGGATGGAATCGTCACATTATGACAAAAGTTTGACATATTTGTGAGTTCTCTGGATCCTACATTAGAGAGGTTTTCATTTTCTCCATAAATGACCAAGAGAAATGTTAAAGTCAAATGAGAAATGTAGCTGCAGATTAGAATTTGGGAGTACTACACTTTGTGTAAGAAATTAGATGTTTCTTCTGGGCCCCCTGGTGGCCTGTTGGTCCTAAGCAGCTTGCCAGTCCACTTGTGTTTTCTGACACCTGTTCTGGACTCCCAGAGGTTGGCATGAAGCCCAGTAGACTGCTGTGATTGTGTCTGTTTTCTCTCCATTATGTAACATTTCCATCTTTTTCTTCTTCCGTGTGTGCAGCTCTGGGGAATCATCAAGCAGGGATACAAGTGCAAAGGTGCGTCTGCTGCTTTATTCTAAGAGTGACTGTCATGGATATGAATTCACTTTTTTACATTTCCTCTTTTTTTTGACACCAAATTTATTAGCAGTAGCTATAATTATTATTCTCTATATATTATTTTTTATTGATGCTGCTTGAATACTGCAGGGATGATTTCAGCCAGGAAATGTGTTTGCCTTGCAGACTGTGGTGTTAACTGTCATAAACAATGTCGGGAACTGCTGGTTCTGGCCTGCAGGAAGCTGATTGGCTCAGGCTCTGTAAGCAGCGGCTCTCCAGCCAGGCTGACCCACAGCTCTCTGCCCAACAGCCCAACGCTGCCCACCTGTAAAGGTTGTTTTCAGATACTGTTACTCATAAGCAATAATCTGGTGTTATCAAGATTGGACTGAATGTTGTCATGAGTTCGCCTTTTCATAAGAGTAAATAAATGTAAGTCTGTAGTGGTGTAGTCCATTGTCCTTCATTTTGCCAGATCGGCCGATATTTGCATGTGAAGCCAATATTATCTACCGATCTGATCAATGAAGGTCTAAAAATCAGCCACTGTCCTCTTTTGCTCTGCCATGAGAGGTTTGACTGTCAGCCCCGCCCACCAGGTCACGTCTGCATGTTTGCGTTCACCAATAATCAGCCCCACACCCCACTTTGCTGCCGACTCAACAACTTCTTACTATATTCATTAACATTTCAGATAAAATTAAAAAAATAAATAATTAAATCAGTATCAGAATTGGCAGGTCAGGATTTTTAAATATTGTAATCAGCAGTCAGCGTGAAAACTGCAATGGGTCACTCCTCGTCCTTAGAAACAGCTTATTGTATTCAGTGTTAAGTTCCTGAATACTGAGGTGCTGGACTTTAGTTCAGTAGAAATATTAACAGTGTGGCAAAACCATCTCTCTGTTACTCAGAGTTATTTTTGTTCAGTTTGTGTTCAAATTTAATGTGCAACTAGAAAATCTATTTCTCTTTGTAAATCTGAAATATTATCTACTTGTTATCATTTGCATGATAAAAGTACATTTTCTTTTACATGTGGAGCATTTCAAATAGTTATTTATTGCCTTTCAAAAACCCATCAATAGTTGTTTGATGTTTTAAATATGGCTGACAATCAATTAAAATATTGAAACAGGATTAATCAGTAACCTGCCATTTTGAGATCATTTCAAAACAAATAATGTACCTCAGCAGAATGTTTTTTATGTTTATGATATTCTTAGCATTGCTGTGTATAAATATGCTTATTTCATTCAAAAGTATTTTATTATAATTGCAACAATACCAAACATGATGAATATTGTTGCCAGAGATACTAGGAAAGAAAACAACGTGCAAAGAATGAAATGTAACACAGAACATTACATTTAAAGTGTTGCTAAAGTTAGACATATCGAACAGATCACAGTTCCATTCATTTAAATGAAGTGGACTCACATCTTAAGCTGTGCAGGTTTGGAAAGCGTCTCTGTTCATTACCGATTTGAAAGCTGTGTGACACGCTGTAGCTGTATGTTGTTTTTGAACAGAACGTTTTATTTATTGTGTTTTCTGTGTTGTTTGGCCATCCACTCATCCTCACTGCTTGCTTTTATTTGGCAAGAGCTAATTCATGTATTTCCCGTTATGTTCCCTTCTCCAGACGAGGACGATGTCTTTGAGTTTCCAGCTGTCGCCCTGGCAGGTCCAGCTCCGGATCCTCAGTCCATCACCCTGATGACCGGCTCGGCTCAAAGGATATCTGTGCGCCTGCAGAGGGCCACCACCAGCCAAGCCACACAGACCGAGCCCCTGTGGTCTGATGTGGGCTGGGGGTCCCCAGACAGCGGCTCACACACGTTTCCTAAAATGAAGTACAGGACTCACAGAAAAGCGTCTAAACGTCCAGGTGTTGCCAGCTGGGAAAACCACAGTAATAGGCAGCAGCACGGAGTTTCCGCTCAGAACTATTTGAATTATCAAACGAGCCCGGCATCTGTGAGGGACGGAAACGGAGAAACAAACACGATGGAGGTAATGAAACCACACGGTCCAGATATTTTCATCACTAGCAAATAAAATGAGCCGACAGGCCACACAAGACTTATGCCTCATTTCTTGTTTTACAGCGCCCCCTAAGGGAAGTGATGCAAGAAAACATAAAATAGAACTAATCAGAAAGTAATCTATGTTTACGTATATATAAATATTAATGCACTATAATTTTAGATGTAACGTAATATGATGTGGCAATATCTGAATTACACTTTTTGAACTGAATTACTGAAATAATTCAAATATTGAGCTACACTTAATATTTCTTCTATTGCTATTTTATAATATTGCTATTGAAGTGTCAAACGTCCTTATTAACAGTTAGATCATTCTGAAAGCATGGCAAAGTATGTCATTGAACCAATGAGCGCCTTTGACTGTCTTGTGGCAGATAAGGGTGCAGAAGAACTGTTTAGTGGAAAATATGGATGGCAGTAAGAGAAATAACGTTTCGTTCACCTTTGGTTTTCTTAAGGACAGCTGACTTGGCCACAACAATGAAGGCCGGGAGCACAGGACCTCCAGGACCACCAGGACCACAGGGAGCAGGAGGTTCTTCTCACTGGGGAAGACCTTGGGATGCTTCAAGTCCCCATTCAGTGACTTGAAGTTATCTCACCCTTTCTAGACCCCGGGTAGGCATGTGGCTGCTACCAGGAGAAGCTCAGTGGATTGTGAACGCCTGACGTGAATCAAATCTTGAGACTACGGAAAGCTCTGAAGGCTCCAGAAAAGACGACACACCTGAGGATTTACAAGTGAAATGGAAGCTAGAGAAGCGTGCTTCGGACACAAACTCAGTGGATCAGTCTTTAATTAAAACTCAAAAGCTTTGGACAGAGAACACCCTAAATGAAAGGTCAAAGTTTCCTTTTGAAGAGGTTGATATCTCTGAGCACATATGTACATAACGTCTTTATAACGTGGTGCAAATAAAGGGAAATTATTACTCTTATCAATAGCAATGTTGTTCTGCGGATGGTTTTGAAGCTTGGTTCATTCCAGGACGACTCAGTTCACTCAGATTCGGAGTTAAGGTAACAAACAGTCCAGTCCTACTTCCTCTGGATCAATAAAAATCCAACTAGTTGTAAAGGGTTCAACGAAACTTGTGTTTTATTCTATCCAGGTAAAAACCAGTTTCTTTCAGGGGGTCTGGGCTCCCAGCTGCTGAAAACCTTTGTTTCCTGGAGGCGTGGGCCGGGTTGGAGTTTTCAAATGTTCCCAATCACTAACGTTTGTCCCTGATGTTCACCATGCAACGGTTCAGTGTTATGAAGCTTACCTGCATTGTAAACAACCGACCTGCGCAACTTCCCTGGTGTAAAGACAGCATACTTTAGTATACTTAAGTATATTTTAAATATGCCATATTTTTCTGAACTACAGTTTTAGTGTGTTATCAAAGGGTATGCTGATTAAGATTATACCAAAAATGACAAATAAATACATTTTTATAAAACATGCTTCGAGTACTCTTTAAAAATGTATTTTGGTATACTGCATATATAATGCATATTGTAAATACACAATAATTTTCTCAAATAGGTTATATGGATATTTTTACAAATACATTTCAATATTATTTGTAAGTACTTTGTAAATAGTGTCTAGTAATTAGGCTCTATTATGTAATATTTCAAACTCTAGGTGTTTTAATAATATTTTACTATTTTGTTAAGACAAAACAAACAAACCTATCCTTTTATTGTAACTTACTTTAACGTTGTTTAACAAAGTAATAAATATTCTGTTCATGCCTCAAAACATGATATTTTGACAGTTTAGTGATGGTTCTGCACCAAAAACATTGTTTGTCTTTAACACTGAATCTGGAAGGTATGTGTAACCAGGTGAAAACTGGGTACATGCCAAATGTATTTGAAAGCCATGTTTTGTTTTATTTCACTGACTGGTTGTGATTCTTGTTTTGCCAGCATGTGGTGCTGTTGTTACAGAGAGGTCTAAAATGACCGGAAATAGAAAAACCTCATTTATGTATCGTAGCGCTAAAACGGAAGAGAAGGGCATTTTGTGCACCACTTATTGGAAGACTACAGGCCACCTGACCAGAAGATCGGAGTCCTCGGTAAAAGAAATGTCGAAGCTACGTTTCGTTAACGGCTCTAGGGAGAGGATGTTAATGTTGTTTTTTTTCTGTTTGTCCTCCTTTAGAATTGCCACTGCCGTTTGTTTGTTGGTGTTAGAGTTTAGCTCTGATGCAAAGCTACAGCCCGCCATTTTCACGGAAGCTAATAATTGAAACTAAAGTTTACATCAGAGAGAGAAAGAAAAATATTAATCTAAAGAAATAAAGAACCCCTTTAATTTGAAGCTCTGTGTGTTGCATTACTCCCGGCTTCAAATATTGGTGCCAGGAGTGGGGTCTCGTTTTCATTTTTCCTCTCCGCGAGGGTGTATATATGGCGGTGCAGCGTTAGCTTTGTTATACGGCAGTGGTGAAGAAGTGGCCTAGACCAGAGCGGACCTGCGTATTGGGCCTGTGTGGCGGCATCTGTTTTGGGATCAGAGGAGGACGTTGCTGGACGTGGTTGTAAGAGATTTCAGCCGAGGTGATCGTGGGTCCAGAACACTTTCCAGGCGGGAGAGGGAGCATCACCCAGCTGCGGTCTTGGAACAGCCCAGGAGGATCCGGTGGACTCGGGATGTCGACCAACTTATCTTTTGCTATTTAAATTTCTACTGACTGTTCAGTGAACTGATTAAAAAATAAGAAAATCAGAACATGTCTTACCAGGATGAAAACTTGGAGATGGATGAACAGGTGAATAATAATGAGGATAATGAACAAGATGGTGGACAGAACAATGAACAAAATGACTTTGAACAAGCTGGGGTGTTACAACAATTAAGTGAGTTAGCCAGAAGACAAGAAGAAGTAATGACAGTCATGTAATCACTAAATACTGAACCTACCAGATCTTATGTCTATGTACCCAGGGAAAGGCACATCTCACCATTTAGCAGAGACATTGACAAAGATGGAAGGGGAGTAGATGAGTTTAATGAAGAAGTAGAAAGAGTTATTTCTGCTAGACATCAGTCTGCACCCGAACAGTTCGATTTTGTGCTGTCACTGTTAAGAGGGTCAGCTCTGGAGGAGGTGCGTTTACGCAAAGCTGATGGTGATGTGGTAAAAGACCTCTTTGTCTACTTAAAAGATGCGTTTGGAGATAAAGGCAGTGTTTCCCAACTTTTACAAAACTTCCACAACTGTAAACAGAGGGAGGATGAAGACATACATGACTTTTCACATTCATTATCTCAGGCCTTTAGTTTTGTACGGAAACAGCATCCTAATGCCATGGCTAATGAGAACACAGTGTCGAGAGACCAGTTCATTGAGGGCATCTGAGACCTCTCACTGAAACGAGAACTCCGAAAATATGTAAGAGGAAAACCTGCATCTACTTTTATAGAGGTGGGTGAGGAAGCTTACTTGTGGTCCTTAGACCAAGCCCCTAGCACAAAAATGGTTAGGAGTAAAGTGAAGACCTGCAGTAATTTTACAGCAGAAGCACAGTGCTGTGCAGTTAAAGAGATAGGAAATCCAATGTATCGGGGGGATGTGATGAAAACTTAAAGAGCAAGACAAAGTCACTAATCTAACTGGACCTAATGAGAAGTCAGTTTCACTCGATGATGTTCTTAAAATGCTCACTGAGCAAGGGAAAGTGATAACAGAACTCACTAAAACTGTGAAAGAGTTGACAATTCAGAGCAGCAACTCTAGTAACCAGACACCATATACGACTAAAACTGTTCCAAGATTTACCTCCGACGGTAAACCGATATGCTTCAAGTGCCAAACTGCTGGTCATGTTGCCAAACAATGTCCCCAGAAAAGACACAAAAATTCTGATGAGTCGCTTGTTTCCGGTCAGTCGGGAAACGAGAGACCCTGGTTGCAGTGAGTCGGGTAATGCAGGGTCATGTCAAAGACCCCTAGAGTAGAGATTACACGAGAACAAATCATTGAGCGTGCCATAGGAAAATGTCCAGTGGTTGATCTAACACTTAATGGCAGGTCAGCTCATTGTTTACTGGACACTGGGAGCCAGGTCAGTACTTTGACAGATGAGTTTTTTCAGAAAGCATATTGGTGATGATGAGAGCGTGCTAGCTACAAATAGTTGGCTTAAAATAACTGCTGCAAATGGACATGACATCCCTTACCAGGGATATGTTGAACTGGAAGTTGAGACGATGAGTTTAAAGATCCCAAACTGTGGCTTCTTGGTCTTGAAGCCTTCAGCGAATCCTATTGTTTCTGAAGAATGCATAATTGGTATGAATGTCATTCACAGATGCAGGCAGCTGGTGACAACAGAGTTGACCGCACTTTGGGTGGATCCTTAGACTCTGGTTGGAGGACAGCTTTTCAACAGGTACAGACCTGTTGCATTGAGAGACAGGCCACAGTTCGGGTTGCAGGCAGAAACAAAGTACGTGTTCCTACATCCTCGGGTGTCCACCGTGTTTGTAAAAGGTCACGCTAAAACCTCAGATGCAGCCTTTCAGTTGCTCATTGAACCAATGACCACTCCTCTACCACCCGGATTAGCAGTTATCCCAACACTTGTCACAAGGACCAGCCATGTTCTTCCGCTTCAGGTAGTTAATTTCTCGCAGAGGAAGTGTGGTTGGCCCCAGAACACGGCTAGGCATAATCTCAAAGGTTGAGCCTGTTGAGAGTGAGCAGACATGCTGAGTAAAATTTCAGCGTGTCTCTGCCGACGTTGAACAAGTTTCAGTTGACACTAAAACACTGCAAACTGACAGCAAGGTGCAAGCCATTTTGGAAAGACTTGACATGGGAGGCACAGAGGAAGAGCATATTGCTCTCTGTGCATTGCTATCCCGTTACATTGATGTTTTTGCGGATGATGACGAGAATCTGGGTTACACAGATGAAGTGAAACATGAGATCAAGCTGGTGGATGACGTACCTGTCACAC